GGAACCTATGAGCTGGGCTTGCCCTGCCCAGGGACACTCTTTCCAGAGGGAACACGGGCGGCAGCTAAGATCCCCGGGCGGGGCTCACCTGAGCACACCGAATGCAAGAAGCCGGGCCAGGAGCAAGTTTATCATAAGTCAAGGGTATGGGCTGCGATCCATTGCTGAGCCCCTCCCTGCCGTGCCCCACACATCCCTCCGTGAGGCAGGCAGAACCACGTGGAGGGAGTGAGGAGAGGAGACAGGAGACGAGCAGGCGGCCTGACCGGCCCGGCCTCTGAGGCTGCATCAGAACCAGGGCTGTGTTCTGAGCGCGTCCAGGAGCTGGCCGGGTTTAAGCAGGGGCTGGGCACGATCTGATGGGCTTGTTTCACAGTTGTCACCGTGGCTGATGGATGTGTCCAGCTAAGTCATGTGGGCGGGGCGGGGGGATAGAAGCAGGGAGCCCCATGAGGAGGCCATGGGGGGTGTGAAGTAAAGCGGTAGGTCCAGGAATAACTCGGGTTTGGGGTCGGATGGGGAGAGGAGGGAACGGGGGCTCCAGCCCCGCCCACCCCACCCCCTCCCCGTTTGCCTGGGCCCCGGGCCGGCCGCGGGGCGTGGGGCTCACGGCCGGTCCCGCAGGAGGTGGACATCTACACCGTGAAGGTGGAAGACCTGACCTTCACCTCGCCCTTCTGCCTGCAAGTGAAGCGGAACGACTACGTGCACGCGCTGGTGGCGTACTTCAACATCGAGTTCACGCGCTGCCACAAGAGGACCGGCTTCTCCACCAGTGAGTCCGCGGGGGTGGGGGCCGCCTGCTCTGCCTTCGCGTCCCACCCGCGGGGCCCAGCAGGACCCTCGGGGGCGAGGAGGGTGAAGGGCTTCACGGGCAGGTGGACCACAGTCAACGCTCCGTAAACAGCCATTTGGGGGGGCGGGGGATGCCAGGCAGAGGGAAGGGCAAGACCAAGGGCTGACCCGACTCCGCCCTCAGGCCCCGAGTCCCCGTACACACACTGGAAGCAGACCGTGTTCTACATGGAGGACTACCTGACGGTGAAGACGGGCGAGGAGATCTTCGGCACCATTGGCATGCGGCCAAACGCCAAGAACAATGTGAGGCTCGGGGGCACCTGGGGGTGGACTGTGGAGGCACCTCTGCTTGTCGGGGGCTCTTGGGGGTTCGTCTGGAACATGATTGTATGGAGCACCTACGGGCAGTGGGCCCTGGGGACCAGCCACGATCAGGCTGAACCCCTGCCCTCCCGATGTTCCCGATCTAGACATGGGTCACAGTCAGCGGTAAACGACAGCGGGACAGCAGGGGGTGACTGTGCCAAGCTGGCGAGGGCGGGCCAGCTGAGAAGGTGGGGGGTGGGGGGCCTGGTTTCCCAGCCTGGGCCTGGGGATTGAGGGAAGAAAAGGAGGGCCGGGCCGTTTGTTCCTCCTGCACCCCTGGCAGGACGCAGCTGCCACTGGCTGAGAGGCTGGGGGCAGGGCTGGGGCAGAGTCAGGAGCCCCAGCTCAGCCTCATGGGAGGAGGAAGGGTCTGGTTCCTGAGTGGAGGGGCGAGGCCTGCGCCAAAACATCAGGCCTGTGTGTAAGGCTGGATGGTGCCCAGGGAGCCTGGGTGGAGGGGAGTGGCCCAAAAGGCACCCACTTTCGAAGTCAGGGAGACAAGCCCGTTAAAGCAGGGACTCGCAACCAGGGACTATTTGCTGTGCCCCAGATGACACTGGTCACTAGAGACGTGGGGTTATTACAAACTGGAGAGGGTGCTCCCCTCTGCTTGCTCCTCACCTGGGCAGTTCTGCATCTCTGCCTGCCCTGTCTCCGGTCCCCTCATGTCCTCCCTCTCCCCACAGCGCGACCTGGACTTCACCATTGACCTGGACTTCAAGGGCCAGCTGTGTGAGCTGTCCTGCTCCACCGACTACCGGATGCGCTGAGACGGCGCCCGGTGTCTCCCACCCCAGCCCGGCCGGCCCTGCACAGGCCCAGCGGCTGTGGCATTTCTTAGGCGGTTTCAGGATCCCCCTTCCTCTCCTTTTCTCACAAGGGAGTGACAGGGGCCTGGGCCCGGGATGGGAGGGGTGGGGGGTGGGTACATTGTGACTGTTTTTCATAACTTATGTTTTTATATGGTTACATTTATGCCAATAAATCCTCAGCTGGGACAGCTTGGCTTCTGGGGGGTTGGGGTTCCGTGTGCAGGTGCTAAGGTTTCAGTCTGAGCAGCCAGGAGTACCCGGATGATGGCGTAGGTCTCTGTCCTCCTCACTTGTGTCTAGTTCTGTCTCACCACAGCCCTCTGAGTCTTGTCCCAACTCACCTCCTGCTCGCTCCCAGGATCTCCCCCCCACCTCTGGGGGGAGTGAGTCTGTCCCCCCCAGCCCCCTCTCCTGCCCCTGAGGCCCTGTTACCTCTCGTCCCCACTGGACATGGCTCTGAGCCCAGCTGCATTGCCAGGCTGGTGGAGGATTGGGGTGTGGGTTCCCAGTATAGCTGGGCCCTTACGCTTCTCAAAAGGCCATTTCCCTGCCTCCCCCAACACACGATTCCTCTGTTTTTTCTGTCCAGGCCCCTCCAGGGCCAGGCCAGGGCTGAGTGGCAGTGAGCACTGTCCTGCCCCCGGCAGCTAGGAAACAGTTGTGGTGGAGTTGCGCTGGGGTCAGTTCCTTCTGGGGGGGTGGCCTAGGGCGGGGGTCCCACCTCAGGGTAGCAGAGCCTCCCCACCTCACAGGAGGGCACCAAGGTCCCACTGACCTTCACAGGCCCCTGCTGCAGGCACGGTGTCCTCATCCACCACCCTCCCCATGGCCCTGTGCACAAAGCCCCATCCCCCAGGACCCGGACCACTCAGCACAGCATCCCTGTCTCCACAGCGCCTGCTCCGCCTGCTTCCGTACAGCTGAGCCCTAGGCTTGCTGGCAGCTGATCTGTTCTAGGATGGTGTCTGCACTGGCTGTGCTGAGGCTCGGGCTCTGTCCCTATCCCCAGGGGCCTTAGGTTCCAGAGTCTCCCTGGGTGAGAGTGAGGTCTGGCCTATACTGGAGCCCAGAGCTTCCCCTTCCCCACCCCTTTCCTTGAAAGCAGATGCTGACGCCACTTGAAAGTGTCAGCTGTCCCATCCCTCTTCCCTACGCCTTAGGATTCCCTCTCCTGGGGCCTGGGCACACCGGCACACCCATGAGGGCTCCTAGGAGCCGTGGAGGAGGTGGAGATCTGGGTGCTAATCGTGCCTCCCTGGCTTGGTGTGGCCTTGGAGACTTCGGCCTGTTTTACTCTCTTGGGAGGTAAAACAGGCCTTAAACTACATCTCACCCTGGAAGGTTATCCAGACCAGGGGGGAGGGGGCGGGGCTGCCCGCGCAGGGGCAACTTCACTCACTGATTTTTCTGGTGACCAACACCCACCTGCTGTTGCTTCTAGCTTCCTCCACCCTGGGGGACCCCGAGTCCTTGGGCAGGTGGGAAAGGCTGGTGGTGTCAGGGATGTGCCTGCAAGGAGACCTTGAAGTGCGTTCGCCTCCTCAGACCAAGGCTTTCAGTCTCGGAACAGGAAGGCATCTCAGAGCTGCCCTGTCGGATACTGGGCCCCATTTCTCCTGTTTGTACCTCAGTATCACGCTCCTCTGTGGCCCCGCCTGCCGGAGACCCGATACTGGCCCCGCTCTGCCTCCAAGGAAAGTTGGGCTATGGAGTGCTAGTCTAGTTGGTCTCCTGGCCCTGTGGCAGTGAGGCCTGCGCAGTGCCCAGCTTGTTGGGTGACCTTGGCACCTCTCTGCACCTCCCCTAGCCTCAGTTTACCCATCTGTATATTGGGGCCACGACCCCAAGTTTCCACTGGGTTTGCCCAGATATCTTCCCCCCAATAGCCTCCTCCTTCCTTCCCCCAGTTCCCGCTGTGACTGGGCGGGACCCAGGGGCACCCCAGAGCCAAATAAAAGGTGATCTCCATGCTTCAGTCTCTGCTCTTTCTGGTCTGACCATCTGAGTCCAGCCCCTAACACATGTTCCCTTGTGGAAGTCCCTTTGACTGTCTAACTTGAATCCAACAGCTGTAGCCGCCTCCCTCGCACCAACGCAGTTGCACCTTGTGCGGCTAGTTTTGTGGGTCTATTGGGTCCCAAAGCAGCTCCTCCCTCCCTGGGATGGTAGGACGGAGATTCGCTCCAGCTCCAGCTGGACGCCCCACGTGCGTGACTCGCCTACCGGAGCTCCGCTGCGAATTCCAAGCTGAGCCTCGTTCCCGGAAGAGAAAGGAGCGAGCTCCTTGAGAGAGCGGACTGGGGAGCCCGAGAGCCTGGGGCTCAGGATAGATGCTGCGTGGAAGGCTGGGGGCGAATGGGGAATGGGGCGGGGTAGGAAGACAGCTAGGACTCAACGCTGGGAGGGGATTGGAAGCTGGGCCCGAGGGGGCGGGGATAGGACGCAGAGCGATTGGAAGGGGGCGGGGATAGGGCGCCGAGATTGGAAGGGGGCGGGGATAGGGCGCCGAGATTGGAAGGGGGCGGGACAGAACCAGGGACTGGAATAGCAGGGAGGCACACGCGAGACAGGAATCGGGGTTCCTGGGTGTGGGGTGATCCGGGGCGTGCAGGAACTCCGGAAGCCCATCGACCAAATCGTGGACTCTTCGCCCTGGGTTGCCTATATCTATGCAAGCGGGAGACAGGCCTGGCGCTCCAAATCGGGGGTCGGGGAGGCGTCATCCGGCTTGGTCCCCAGGATCCTATCGGCGGACCCCCGACTCAGCGTAGTGAGTACGGGACGGGAGGGGCCCGGGCTACCGCGGGGGCTGGAGGCCTGTGTCCCCGGTTGGGCAGACGAGCTTCTCCATCACTTGTCCTCGAAGCATCCCTGGCTGCGAGGCATGCGCAGTAGGGTGCGCCCTCCCCCATCCCCTCTAGCCCCTGTCGAGGGGGAGGGGACGCTGGGTGAATTTATAGACAGTTCCCCCGCCCCCACCCCACCCCACCCCCGGCCTTGGAATGGGAAACGGAAATGGGGGGACAGTGCCAGCGTCTGGCAGGTGTTTGTTTCAAATGGGTCTCGGACTGATATTTTTCTCGGAGACCCCGTAACTCTCCCTGCACGGATTTCCCCCCTCCGCCCCCGAATTTTGAAAGTCCTATATGGGGAGGCGGCACTGCCCCCGCACCAGTCTCAACAGAGCCTCCGAGAGGGAAACGCGAGGTAGCCCTCCGCCTCGGTGTGTATCCACTGAGGTCCCCAACGGAGGGTCCCCCCAACACCGAGTGTCTGGCCGGGACCCTCAAGACCCTTAGGAAGGGTGAGCTGGCGTCCTCTACGCCTGGGTCTGCGGGAGGAGGGGCTGGGGTCCTGGACTCCTGGGTCTGGGGGAGCCGCGAGCTGGGGGCTTAGGGAGTGACTGTCCTCCCCCAGGGGCCGGCGGGACATGGCTGAAGCGCACCAAGCCGTGGGCTTCCGACCCTCACTGACCTCGGACGTGGCGGAAGCGGACCTCAGTGCCTCGGCGCTGCAGGAGATCTACCTGTCCGGACTGCGCTCCTGGAAAAGGCATCTCTCCCGGTTCTGGGTGAGGAGGGCTGCGCTCGGTTTCCTTCCGGGGATCCCGTTACCGGTTTCCGGGCTGCCCGAGGCCCACCTCTGGCATCCAGGTGGCCCCCCTTCTGGGAAAGCTGTCCGCTCCCAGGACTTCTGAAAGCTCCTTCCTGGTCTGTGGCTCACTTCAGGGATCCTCAGCCTCACCCACTGGGAACCCCTATTCACCGCTTGCACCCACTTCTGGGACCCCCACGTTCCCCATGCCTCCAGACACAACTTGCACCCCAATTTCTAGAGCTCAGTGCCCTTCCCATGGTTCACTTCTCATCTTCCCTTTCATCTGCAGGTTTTCGCCCGGCAGGGGGGGCGCAGTGGTTGAGTGTAACCTGGGTTACAGTTTACTCCCCACCCCTGGTCCGGGTGCGTGCGGGAGGCAACTAGTTGATGTGTCTGTCTCACATCGATGTTTCTCTCTCTCTCTCTCTCTGAAAAGCAATGAAAAAAATACCCTCAGGTGAGGATTAACAAAAAAAACAAAAATAACCATATATGCCCGTAACGTTTCCTGCCAAGCCAAAGGAAGACAGACTGTCAAGTACATAAACCCCCCAGGAGAAGCAGAGCAGCAGCAGAAAGGCTCACTGTAGTGACATTTATTGGGCACCTGCCGAGTGCCTGGCTCTGAGCTGTGCCAGGCAGCCCCTTCCCCAGGCCCCTTCTCTGCTTTATTTTTCTCCCTAGCACCCAGCACTGTCCGACACACTGCACTGAGTCCTTCCCTTACGCAGGCATCCTCTCTGTCCCCTTGACCACAGGAATCTTGCTACCTGGTCACTGCTGTGAGGCCCCAGTTAGCATTTGTGGAATGACAGTGTCTCATCCGGCCCTTGTGACAGCTCTGTGATCGCTCCCATTCTACAGAAGGACACAGAGAGGGCACGTGCTTGCCATCACTCGGCCAGTTAGGGACAGAGCGGAGGGTGGGACTCCGGAGCCCAGGTTCTAAAGCCTGATTTCTGAGGCCTTCCTAATCGTTAAGTGTGGGAAGGAGAGAGAAAGAGGTCGCTTGAGCCGGGATGGTGATGCCCCAGCTAATGGTCGGTGGTAGCTTTAATCCTGTCTTAACTTTGCTCTCTGTGTGATCTTGAAGCCGTGTTGTTTTGTTTGCTTGTTTTGTTGTTTTTATATTTTTAAAATATATTTTATTGATTTTTTACAGAGAGGAAGGGAGAGGGATAGAGAGTTAAAAACATTGCCCCTGGCCGGGATCAAACCTGGGACCCTTCAGGCCGCAGGCCGACGCTCTATCCACTGAGCCAAACCGGTTAGGGTTGTTTTGTTGTTTTAAAGCCTCATCCAAGGATGTTTTTCCCATTGGTTTTTAGAAAGTGGAAGAGGGAAAGACAGAGAGAAATATTGATGTGCCTGAAACACATCGATTGGTTGCCTCCCTGAACAAGCCCGGACCAGGGCCCAGGCCAGGGAGGAGCCTGCACCCAAGGTACGTGCCCTTGACTGGATTCAAACCTGGGAATCTTCAGTCCACAGGCTGATGTTCTATCCACTGAGCCAAACCCACTAGGGCTTGTTTTTAATGTAAAATGAGATAATCTTAGTACCTACTTCTCAGGGTTGTGGGAGGATTTAAAGAGTTAAGCCTTGTAAAAGGCACCTGGCATGTAGTAAGCGCTCATTACATGTTAATTATCTTGTTCACCCTTCTCTAGGAATCTGATTAGTAACCCAGCACTTTCATCCATTCCTCATTCATTCCACAGCCAGGTAGCTCCAGAAGGCCTACTGAGCTCCAGATGCTCCTCTGTCTGGGGGAACATTTTGCCTTCCAGGTCCTTCCTGAGAGTAACCTCCTCCAGGAAGCCCTCCCTGACTCCCTCAGGATGAGCAACCTGCCACCACAGGGCTCCTGTGTCTTGTCTCCTGTCATTAGCACTCGCTTCATTCTTGACTGACCTCCCTGAGGATAGAATCTAGATCAGTCTGCTACCCACGGGGTCTTGAGCACCCGGCTCAGAACCCAGCACACTCTGGATGCTCAATATCTAAGGATTGTGCTTAGAGGATGCGATTGAATGGATGCTCTTTCTTCCCCACAGAATGACTTTCTCACTGGTGTGTTCCCTGCCAGCCCCCTCAGCTGGCTCTTCCTCTTCAGTGCAATCCAGCTCGCCTGGTTCCTCCAGCTGGATCCTTCCCTAGGACTGACGGAGAAGATTAAAGAGCTGCTGCCAGATTGGTGAGTTCCCACTTCAGCCCAGTAACCTCCCTAGTTCCTTTCCCTCCACCTAGGAAGTTTCTCTATCGGTGTGCTGTGCCTGCTAAAGAAAAGGGACAGATTACAAAAGGTACCACATCAATAAAAAAGGAGGTGCTTTTCTCTCTTCTTTCCATCCTGGCTGCTTCTTGTTAAGAGGGATGGGGACAAACTAGAAAATATCTCAGATATGGTGATGTTTACTGATGCAAGTGTGAACTCTGCTAGTCTCTGATTGTGCACTTTTAGGTAAGAGACTTGCCCTAACCGGTTTGGCTCAGTGGATGGAGCGTTGGCCTGGGGACTAAAGGGTCCCAGGTTTGATTCCGGTCAAGGGCATGTACCTTGGTTGCGGGCACATTCCCAGTGGGGGTTGTGCAGGAGGCAGCTGATCGATGTTTCTCTCTCATCTGATGTTTCCAACTCTCTATCCCTCTACCTTCCTCTCTGTAAAAAATCAATAAAATATATTAAAAAAAAAAGAGAGAGAGAGACTTCACCAGATTAGGTGTCAGGGTTTTCATTTATTAAATGGGGGTAATGATAATTGCTTCTTAGGGTGGTTGGAAGAATTCAAGTCACCCATGTGGAATAGTCAGTATGGTGCCAGGAGCTTGTTAAAGGGGACCGGTTGTCATATTACAGTCGTTGCTGTCGGCTTTGGGAAAGATTTGGCAACCAGATGACGGTGAAGTGGCAGGGTCTAACTCTTGCATAAGTGCCCCTAGGAAAGAAGGCAGATTTGGGGTAGACAGTCCCAAAGGCCTGCTCTTGGATTGGAGGTAGAAATTTCCAGGAAGACTGGATTTACCCTGTGCACAGCTCCTCCAGGTGGGATCTGCTCCCATGTCTGTTAGCAACGTTGCAAACTGTAGGCCAGTTTCCTAAACTTGAGTTTAATTTGGAACCACCTGGGAAGGCTTGTTCAAACACCAATTGCTGCCCAGCTGGTGTGGCTCAGTGGTTGGGCATTGACCCATGAACCAAGAGGTCCCCGGTTTGATTCCCGATCAGGGCATGTGCCTGAGTGGCGGGTTCCATCTCCAATGGGGGTGCATGCAGGAGGCAGCCAATCAATATCTCTCATCTATGTTCCTATCTCTCCCTCTTCCTTCTTCTCTCTCTAAAATCAATAAAAACATTTTAAATTGATTTTTATTGATTTCAGAGAGGAAGGGAGAGGGAGAGAAGATAGAAACATCAATGATGAGAGAGAGTCATTGATCGGCTGCCTCCTGCACATCCCCTACTGGGGATCGAGCCCACAACCCAGGCATGTGCCCTTGGTCAGAATCGAACCTGGGACCCTTCAGTCCGCAGGCCGACGCTCTATCCACAGAGCCAAACCAGCCAGGGCAATAAAACATATTTTCAAAAGACAGCACTGATTGCTGCCCTGGCCTGTGTGGCTCAATTGGTTGGGTGTTGTCCCATGCACTGAATGGTTGGTTGCTGGTTTGATTCCTGGTCAGGGCACATGCCCGAGTTGCAGGTTCCATCCCTAGTTGAGGGCATTCAGGAGGCAACCAATCGATGTTTCTCTCTCACATTGATGTTTCTCTCTCTCTCTTCTCCCTCTCTGTAGACTGAATAAAAACATTTTTAAAAACCCCAACACTGATTGTTGGACCCCATCCCAACAGATTCTGTCTTACTAGGTCTGGGCAGGGCCCAGGAATCTGCATTCCCAGCAAGCTCCCAGGTGCAGGCCACACTTTGAGAACCTCGCTGAGAGTATAATTGATATCTGGGAGGGAAAAGTGTCCTTTTAGTAGAAATAACACTTATTAAGCACCTACCAGTTTCCATGAGACGGTGAGACATGATTTTAGAAGCTTGGGGTCCCCACAGTCCTGGGAAGAGGAGGGTGCTGAGAGAGGATCCTGCCTCCTTCACAAATGAGGAAACCGGACCCTCTAACTGACTCTAGTTCCACAAGATAAGCCTCCAGCAGCCGGAAGACCAGTGAGAGAATATTAGGGAGTGCAGGGGCCGAGTGAGGCTGGAGGGGAGGGGGTTCTGAGGCCAGGAGGCCCAGCCCTTCCTCTCTCTCCGCCCAGGGGTGGACAGCACCACAGGCTTCGCGGGGTCCTGGCGGCCGCACTGTTTGCTTCGTGCCTCTGGGGAGCCCTGATCTTCACACTTCACGTGGCTCTCAGGCTGCTGTTGTCCTACCACGGCTGGCTCCTCGAACCCCACGGAGCCATGTCCTCACCCACCAAGACTTGGCTGGTATGTGAGGGGCAGAGCCCTGCTCGGGCCCTGTGGGGGCCTATTTCTCTGTGCCCCTCCCTCTGGGTCTCTGTCCCCCTCCCTCTGGGTCTCTATCCCCCTCTCTCTGGGTCTGTCCCCCTCCCTCTGGGTCTCTGTCCCCCTCCCTCTGGGTCTCTGTCCCCCTCTCTCTGGGTCTCTGTCCCCCTCTCTCTGGGTCTGTCCCCCTCCCTCTGGGTCTCTGTCCCCCTCCCTCTGGGTCTCTGTCCCCCTCTCTCTGGGTCTCTGTGCCCCTCTCTCTGGGTCTGTCCCCCTCCCTCTGGGTCTCTATCCCCCTTTGGGCGGGTATCTGTCCCATCTGCTCTGTGGGTTGCCACACACACCTCACCCAGGTCCCCAGCCCCAGTGAGGGGTTTGATGACCCACAATCCCCACTTCCCAGGCCCTGGTCCGCATCTTCTCCGGCCGCCACCCAATGCTCTTCAGTTACCAGCGCTCCCTGCCGCGCCAGCCGGTGCCCTCCGTGCAGGACACCGTGCGCAAGGTGGGCCGGTCCCTGGGGATGGGAGAGAGGCGGGCGGGGCGGGCTTGGGGGCGTGACCTGCCTACCTCTCCGCCTCTTCCCTCAGTACCTGGAGTCCGTCCGGCCTGTCCTTTCGGACGAGGATTTCGACTGGACGGCGGGCCTGGCTCAGGAATTCCTGAGGCTGCAGGCGTCGCTGCTGCAGTGGTACCTGCAGCTCAAGTCCTGGTGGGCGTCCAATTACGTGAGTCCCTTGTGGGGAAGGCAGAGGTCCGAGCGCATCCCCGTGACCCGGCAGGGTTACGCCCCGCCCCACGCCCCGCCCACAACCCCTCGGCCTGCGGCGATTGGAGGCCCCAGACACCGGGCATCCTGAGCCCCGCCCCTCACTCAATCTCAGCCCCGCCCCCACGCTCCAATGATGTAAACCCGCCCCAGATGCTCCAATATTCCGGCTCCTCTGCACTCTCCAGTACTCTGAACTCTGTCGTCTGCCAGCAGTGTGAGCCCCTCTCTCCACGCTCTGATGTTCTTTTTAAATATACATATTTTTTTACTGATTTCAGAGAGGAAGGGAGAGGGAGAGAGAGATAGAAACATCAATGATGAGGGAGAACCATTGATCAGCTGAGTCCTGCACGCCCCCCCACTGGGGATCAAGGCTGCAACCCGGGCACGTGCCCTTGACCGGAATCGAACCTGAGACCCTTCAGTCTGCAGACTGATGCTCTATCTACTGAGCCAAACTGGTTAGGGCCTGGTTGTTGATTTTTTAATCTCAGATGGGATCGATAAACATATCTTGTGTACCCAGCCTTCGCCATCGGCAGCACCGTGAGGCTCACTCCGTGTCACTAATACAGATATAGCTTGTTCTTTTTTTTTTTTAAGGGGAGAATGATGGTTTTTATTTTTTTAATATATTTTATTGATTTTTTACAGAGAGAAAGAGAGAGGGATAGAGAGTTAGAAACACTGATGAGCCGAAACCGGTTTGGCTCAGTGGATAGAGCGTCGGCCTGCGGACTGAAGGGTCCCGGGTTCGATTCCGGTCAAGGGCATGTACCTGGGTTGCGGGCACATCCCCGGTGGGGGATGTGCAGGAGGTGGCTGATCGATGTTTCTCTCTCATCGATGTTTCTAGCTCTCTATCTCTCTCCCTTCCTCTCTGTAAAAAATCAATAAAATATATTAAAAAAAAAAAAAAAAAAAAAGAAACACTGATGAGAGAGAAACATCCATCAGCTGCCTCTTGCACACCCCCTACTGGGGATGTGCTCGCAACCAAGGTACATGCCCTTGACTGGAATCGAACCTGGGACCCTTCAGTCTGCAGGCCGACACTCTATCCACTGAGCCAAACCGGTCAGGGCACCTTGTTCTTTTTAACAGCTGTGTAATATTCCACAGCATGAGCGGAGCTTCTAGGTTATTGCTAGCGACTGCTCAGGCTGGCCGCCTGCACTGGGCTCCGCCCTCCCTGTCAGACACAGTCAAGTCTGGGGTGGCTCGGCCCTGCCACTGCCCCCCCTGCACTGGCCCGGCCACCCCAGCTCTGCGTCTCTGTGACCCGTCCCCAGGTCAGTGACTGGTGGGAAGAGTTTGTGTACCTTCGCTCCCGCAACTCGCTGATGGTGAATAGCAACTATTATATGATGGTGAGAGGGGAGAAGGGGGCTAGGAGCTGAGGAGGGAGTGGGGCTCATACAATGATAAAAGGTGGGGTTTAGGGTCAGTGACCCAAATCACTGTCTTGAATTCACCATTCGCCCTCTGTTGGGGGCAGGACCCGTCTGTGTTTGGGGATCAGGGGCAAACCTGACCCCAGGCGTTTTGCTGCCCCCTCCTCGGCCCCCAGGACTTCCTGTATGTCACGCCCACACCCGTGCAGGCTGCTCGCGCTGGGAATGCTGTGCACGCCCTGCTGCTCTACCGCCACCGCCTGAACCGCCAGGAGATCCTGCCGGTAAGAGGGCGGCCCCGGGGGACAGAGGCCGTGATCCTGTGGCCGTGGGGCTGCGTGGGCCCCGGCGGGGAGTGGGGTGGGGGTGGGGGCGGGGAGGCAGCTCCCGAGCCTGAGGTCTTCTGCAGACGTTGCTGATGGGAATGCGGCCCCTGTGCTCCGCCCAGTATGAGAAGATATTCAACACCACGCGGGTGCCTGGGGCCCAGAAAGGTGAGACCCTCTCCGCTCCTGGCTCTGGGAGACGGGACAGTGTAGCAGCCAAGAGCGTGTGTGCTGGAGCCCGAGGCCGGGTTGCATCCCAGCTCCGTCTTCCCAGCCGTGTGGCCTTGAGCAAGTCGCCCTCTCTGGGCCTCAACCTCCCATCTCTCAGGTGGGATAAGGACACAGAGGGTGGTGAGGGGTAGATAGGTGCCCAGAACAGTGCAAGCCGCTTAGGAAGTAGGTAGTTGCTATTATTTTCTTTTAATATATATTTTTATTGATTTCAGGGAGGAAGGGAGAGGGAGAGAGAGATAGAAACATCAATGATGAGACAGAATCATGGAGGGGCTGCCTCCTGCACGCCCCCTACTGGGAATCGAGCCTGCAACCCGGGCATGTGCCCTTGACCGGAATCCAATCAGAGACCTTTCAGTCTGCAGGCCATGGCTTTAGCCACTGAACCACACCAGCCAGGGAGTAGTTGCTATTCTTTTTTTTTTTTTTTTAGTATATTTTATTGATTTTTTACAGAGAGTTAGGGAGAGGGAGAGGGAGTTAGAAACATCGATGAGAGAGAAACATCGATTAGCTGCCTATTGGGTACGTGCCTGCAACCAAGGTACATGCCCTTGGCCGGAATCGAACCTGGGACCCTTGAGTCCGCAGGCGGACGCTCTATCCACTGAGCCAAACCGGTTAGGGCCATAGTTGCTATTCTTATTCTTAATGTTTCCAACCCTCCTGCCCGCACACTCTGCCCGCCCACCCAGACCACCTGCGCCACCTCCGGGACAGCCGGCACGTGGCCGTGTTCCACCGGGGCCGGTTCTTCCGCGTGGGCACCCACTCCCCGAGCGGCCTGCTGTCCCCTCGCGCCCTGGAGCAGCAGTTTCAGCGAATCCTGGACGACCCCTCGCCCGCCTGCCCCCACGAGGAGCACCTGGCGGCCCTGACCGCGGCGCCCAGGTGAGGGGGGAGGGCAGGGGCGCATGGGCCCCGCCGCCACCCCGGGGTTGGGGGCCGGTGGGGGCCGGGCAGGCTCCGGGGCTCAGGCACGCCCCCCCCCCCAACAGGGACCTGTGGGCGCAGGCGCGGAGGTCCCTGAAGAGCCGCGCGGGGGAGGCCCTGGAGGCGGTGGAAGGGGCCGCTTTCTTTGTCTCGCTGGACTCGGAGCCCGCGGGGCTCACCAGGGAGGACCCCGCGGCCTCCTTGGACGCCTACGCCCACGCCCTGCTGGCTGGCCGGGGCCACGACCGGTGAGTCTGCCCCGGGCCTGGACCGCCCCCCCCCCCCCACCTGCGACCGGAACCCTGGACCTAATACTCTGGGCCGTGGACACACAGACCCTGACCCCCAGTTCTGGGGCACCTCCAGACCCAATGGCCCCCTGGACCTGAGGACCCCAGACTCAAGGCCTTGCGACCTGGGGACCTCCGACCCAGAGAAGCCTAGACCCAGACCCTGGAACCCCAGATCCCAGACCTGGACCCTCAGACCCAGAGATCCCCAGAGCCCGGACCCCAAGCCTGGGATCTCAGACTCAGAGGCCCGAGACCCCCAGACCTGAATGCTGGCGTCCTAAACCCAAGACCTAGAGACGCTCAGACACTTCCTAGATGCCCACCAGTCACCCTGGTCTCTGAGGCCCCTGCGCCCCCTGAACCTCGCACCTTACCTGGTACCTTCTCTCAAAATCCCCAGCTCTTCACACCTGGGACCCGGCCCAGAGCCCATCCAGAGCCACCAGCTGGAGGCCCCGCCCTCTTGGAGGTCCCACACCAGCCCTGATTCCAGAAAAGTCTCCCCACCCAGAAATCCCCACACGGCCCTCAGGGCACCCCGACTTCCCTCCTGGCCCCGCTCCTTGGTGACCTCTCCGACCTCTCTCCCGCAGCTGGTATGACAAGTCCTTCACCCTCATCGTCTTCTCCAACGGCAAGCTGGGCCTCAGCGTGGAGCACTCGTGGGCGGACTGCCCCGTCTCAGGGCACATGTGGGAGGTAGGGCAGTCCCCCCGCACCCCCTGGGGACCACCACCCCCATTTCCAGAGACCTTCCTCCCCCGGGACTGAGGGTCAGAGGAGAAGTGGAGGCTCGGAGAGAGAAAGGAGAGACCGGAGAGGGCCACCCAGCAAGGCAGGGGGCCTGGGTGGGCAGTTGGGACTCAGAGAAGGGAGCTGATTTGCCCAGTCACAGAGCCAGGAGCTGCAGAGCAGGACTGTGAATCCGGAATGTTCTGAGGCCAGAATGAGGGGGCCTTTGAGTCACATCATCATCGCTGAGTTGGAACCGCCTCTCAGCTTGGCTGAGTGACCCTGGGCAAGTTACTCCCCTCCATCCTTTTATCTTTAAGTCCCATCCAGTCATGAGAACCTCAAGTCTCCATTTTATTTCATTTTAAATCAGAGGGGGGTGCCTGCCGCCCATCGGCCCCATCTCCGGTGCTGCATGAGGGCTGGATGGGGCCCAGGGTGGGGAGCAGGGTGTGAGCGGGGGAGGGAGGCCCCTCCAGACCTCAGGAGCAGCCCAGATCAGCGCAGACTCTCCTGGGCCCGTTTCTCGTTTGTAAAATGGGAATATTTTGGCAAATGAGACACAGTTCAGTTCCACGTCAGACCCTCAGGCTGTTCACGTCCACATATCACCTCCGTATGTCCACGTTGAACGAGGAGATGGCACATAGAGTAAGATAGAGAGAAGTGCCACGCTGAGGGTAGCAGGTACTCGGTCAGGGTTGATTTAAAATATTTAGCAGGCCCAGCCGGCGTGGCTAGTGGTTGAGCGTCAACCTATGAACCAGGAGGTCACGGTTCGATTCCGGTCAGGGCACATGCCTGGGTTGGGGGCTCCATCCCCAGTGGGGGGCGTACAGGAGGCAGCCGATCAATGATTCTTTCTCATCATTGATATTTCTGTCTCCCTTTCCCTTCCTCACTGAAATTAATAAAAAAATATTTTTAAAAAATAAAATATTTAACAATATTTAACAATAATAAAAGCAGGGTGGATGCTGAGGGTGGTCCTCAGGAGGGCTGGGCAGCCATTGGTGCTCTAAGAACCTGTCAGAAGGTCAGGGATAGGAAGCGCCGTTGGGTATTAGCATCGCTCCCACTCTCGATGGACTTGAACCTGAGACCCCGCTTGTGAACATGAGGGTTTCTCCTTCTCAGGGACTGACCCCAGGCCCAGAAGGGCCTGGTCCAAGAGGTCCCCGGTTAGATGGCTGCGGGCCAGAGGGAGGCAGGGACCCTGACCACCTGCATTTGTACACAGTTCACTCTGGCCACCGAATGCTTCCAGCTGGGCTACTCGGTGGACGGCCACTGCAAGGGCCACCCTGAGCCCTCCCTGCCCCGGCCCCAGCGGCTACACTGGGACCTTCCAGACAAGGTGAGTCTGGGCTGCCGGGCCTCTCCTCCGAGTCCCCAAATTCCTGGATTTGACTCTAAACTCACTCTCATCCCCAAACTCAACCTCGAGACCAACCTCATCCCCTACTCCATCCCCAACCCAAACTCATCTCCACCCAACACCATCTCCATCCTAAATTCAATCCTGTTTCCAACACCAAACCCATCTGAAACCCCAACCCTAACTCCAGCCCAGCTCCAGCCCCAACCCTGACTTCGGCCCATCCACAGCCCCATTCCTGCCTGCAGTGGCCTCCCTGTCTCCACCTATAACCTAGCCCAGTGATGGCGAACCTATGACACGTGTGTCAGAGGTGACACGCGAACTCATTTTTTTAGTTGATTTTTCTTGGTTAAATGGCATCTAAATATATAAAATAAATATCAAAAATATAAGTCTTTGTTTTACTATGGTTGCAAATATCAAAAAATGTCTATATGTGACACGGCACCAGAGTTAAGTTAGGGTTTTTCAAAATGCGGCCATGCCGAGCTCAAAAGGTTCGCCATCACTGCCCTAGCCCTTCAACTCCATTCATTTCTTCGTCCCAACTTCCATGATCCCCCCAACCCTAACTCCATCCCCATCACCACTTCCGGCCTCATTCCCCACCTTCGTCTTCCCTCCATCTCTCACCCGGCCTCCCCTCCCCCCGCCTCTGGCAGGTCCACCTGTCCATCGCGCTCGCCCTGAGGGCAGCCAAGACCTTGTCCGGAGACACGGACTGCCACGTCTTCCCCTTCTCCCACTTCGGCAAGAGCTTCATCAGACGCTGCCACCTGTCCTCAGACAGCTTCATCCAGACGGCCTTGCAGCTGGCCCACTTCCGGGTCCGTGAGGTTCCCTGACCCCACCCCCTCTCAGGAACTCGGTTCCCTGGTCCCCCGAGGCCTGCCACGGCAGCCCCTTTCATGAGTCTTCTCAGCCATTTGGGTCTACTATCTTTTCCCCCCAGAGGTAGTTTTTTTTCTTCAATATTTTTAGAGAGAGAAGAATGGAGAGGGAGAGAGAGAGAGAAACATTGATGTGACAGTGAAACCTTGATCAGCAGCCTCCTGCATGCCCCTTACTGGGGATGGAGCCTGCAACCCCTGCAGGTGCCCTGACTGGGGATTGAGCCAGCAACCTTTTTGTTGTTGTTGTTGTTAATCCTTACCCGAGGATATTTTTCCATTGATTTTTTAGAGAGAGTGGAAGGGACAGGGAGAGACAGAGAGAAACATTGATGTTTAGAGAGAGACACATGGATTGGTTGCCTCCCGCACGCACCCTGACCAGGGCTAGGATGGAGCCTGGAACTGAGGTACATGCCCTTGACCAGAATCTAACCCTAGACCCTTCAGTCCGAGGGCCGGCGCTCTATCCACTGAGCCACACCGGCCAGGGCGAGCCAGCAGCCTTTTGGTGCACAGGGCAATGCCCAGCCAACGGAGCCGCGCCGGAGGGCGGGTCTGCCATCTGGATTCCTCTCCCCCAACCACACCTTGCTGGGTGGGAGGAGGCTGCGGGCCCAGAGGTGGGCCACGTCTGGAAAGACTTCCTGAACCCAGGTGACAGCTCCTCTTCTCCTTGTCCCCCAGGACAGGGGTCGCTTCTGCCTGACTTATGAGTCGGCCATGACGCGCCTGTTCCTGGAAGGCCGGACGGAGACAGTGCGGTCTTGCACGCGGGAAGCCTGCAACTTCGTGCGAGCCATGGAGGACAGAGAGAAGACAGTGGGTGTGAGCCTCAGCTGAGGCTTCGGTCACCTCCACATCCCCACTCGTGACCTTGCAGATGTTTATGGAGCAGCTGCTGGGGGCGCACGGGGCAGGGAGGACAGGCCTGGACTCGGACCTCGAGGAGCTCACTGATGGGGGAAACGGAGATAGTTCAGCATAGTGTGATACAGGCATATATATACACACACACATACACGCATATATATATGTATGTATATATGAGAGAGAGATAACCATCAATGATGAGAGCGGCCATTGATCAGCTGCCTCCCGCACTCCCCCTACTGGGGATTGAGCCCGCAACCTGGGCATGTGCCCTGACCGGGAATCTAACTGTGACCTCCTGGTTCATAGATTGACACGCAACCACTGAGCCACACCGGCTGGACTGATATAGACTTTAATGGGGGTCTCACAGGACAGGGCGGGAGCACCCAAGAGGGAGCCCTTTTGCCACAGTGCAGCCCTTTGATGATTTAACCTTTGATTTTTAACCTTGTGACTTCCATTGGCACCATTGCTCCTGTTCCCTCTATAACCTCTCTGCTCAGACACCCGCCCCCGCCCTCTGCCGCAGGCACCTCTGCCCCCTCTCCCCCTGCCTATGTGGCTCAGTGGGAGGAGTGTCAGGAAGCCTGGGAACCCCTCTGCTTCTGCTTTGCTCCGTGCCCCTGGGCAGGTGACTTTCCCCCATTGAGCCCGTTTCCATCTGTAAAACAGGGCTGCTGTCTCTGCCTTGCAGGGGTGTTGCAAGCTGGGGTGAGGCCCGGGGTGTGACAGACCCCCCGCAGTAAGCCCACTTCCTGTTTTTCCATGACCTGCGACCTCCCCGGGACCCCAGGACTCCCAGTGCCTCTCCCTGTTCCGCCTGGCGGTGGACAAGCACCAGGCTCTGCTGAAGGCGGCCATGAGCGGGCAGGGCGTGGACCGCCACCTGTTCGCACTCCACATCGTGTCCCAGCTCCTCCACCTGCAGGCGCCCTTCCTGGACCAGGTTGGGGTGCAGGGAAAGGGCTAGAGACGAGGGAGGCACTTGGGGGCAGGGAGGGGGATGCTGGGAAAAGGAGGTAACCGCAGAGGAGAGAGCTGGGGAGCCCAGGCTAGAGGGAAGGGAAAGGGGGCGGGGCAAAGGGGAGAGGGGCGTGGTCTCAGACAGAAATGGGAGGGGCTGGTCCCAGGGAGAGGGATGCCCGGGCACCTGGAAGAAGGGGGCGTGGCCTTGGAGAAGGGGGCGTGTCAGGAGGGGTGAGACGAGCAGGGCGGGTTCCAGGAGGAGAGCGGAGAGGTGGTCGGGAAGGAGAAGGGCAGGGTGCAGGTGGGAGCAGATTTAGGGAAACCCGGAAGCCAGGGGGGCAGGTCAGAGAGGGCGAGGGCTGTGTGGCGTGGAGCGGAGCCGAGGGGGCGCGGACCTGCGAGTCTATGTTTTTCTCTCTTTTTTTTTTGGGGGGGGGGCGTGTCTGTGACCGTCCTCCTCCCCTCAGGTTCACTCGGAGCAGTGGCAGCTGGCCACCAGCCAGATCCCCGTGCAGCAAACCCACCTGTTTGACGTCCACAACTACCCCGACTACGTGTCCTCCGGTGGAGGGTTTGGGCCTGTGAGTGGGACGGGCGGACCCGGCGCCCTGAACCCCGACGGGGGCGCTGGCAGCCTGCACACCTGCCTCCTGCCTCCTGCCTCCTGGTGGGGAGGCACCTGGGCCTTCTGTTCCCCTCGCCCTGTCCCTTTCCAGGTGGATGACCACGGCTACGGTGTTTCTTACATCTTCATGGGGGATGACACGGTCACCTTCCACATTTCCAGCAAAAAATCAAGCACAAAAACGGTGAGACCCACCGAACCACCCCCACCTCCTTCCTCAGGACCCAGGAGTCTGGACCCCTAGCTCCCTCCTCTCCAGAACCGAGTCCAGACCCCCAGCCCCGACCTGCCCCCCAGCCCTCTCTCCCGCAGCCCCCAGCCCCCATGCAGGGGCCCCTCCCCCAGCTCCCCTTGGACGGGACCCATTCCTCGTTCCAGGACTCGCACCGGCTCGGGCAGCACATTGAGGACGCGCTGCTGGACGTGGCCTCCCTGTTCCAGGAGGGGCAGCGTCTGAAGCGAGGGTGCCGGGGGCGGGGGGAGGAGGACGCGGGGAACCGGCGTGGGTCTCTCCCCGGCCACTAGGGGCTCCGGGGCACCCCTGCCGCCCACCAACCTGTGATCTCTTCCGGCCGGAACCTGGTCTCCCCGGGAAGTCGTGGGCGGGGCTCTGTGGCTGGGCTGGTGCCGGACGGAGGCACCCTGTGTGGGTTTGGAACCCCACATCTGGTCCAATAAAGATGTGTGAGCTGGGTGTGTGGTCTCGCTCTACTCTTGGCCGGGGCAGGGGTCAGGGAGGGAGGAGACGGCCCCCCCAGCCCCAGGCCCAGCCGTGAATTCCCAGTTACAAGCACCACCTCAGTGACAGCCCCTAGCACAGCGGTTCTCAACCTTCCTCATGCCGCGACCCTTTCATGCAGTTCCTCATGTGGTGGTGACCCCCAACCGTAACATGATTTTCGTTGCTACTTCATAACTGTAATTTTGCTACTGTTATGAATCGTAATGCAGGATGTATTTTCATTGTTACAAATTGAACATATTGAAAGCATAGTGATTCATCACAAAAACAATATGTAATGATATATGTGTTTTCCGATGGTCTTAGGCGACCCCTGCGAAAGGGTCGTTCGACCCCCAGGTTGAGAACCGCTGCCCTAGCACCAGCCCAGTTTACTGCATTCCCACCTCCAGTCACACTAACCCCAACACCCAAGGCCAATCCCAGGCAAACAGCCCACAAGCTCTCAGCCCAGTTCCTGCTGCCCCAAGGCTAATTGTCCACAGTTGGGGGGTGGGGGGGGGACACTTGCCAACTCTCATCCAGTCTAATTAACGTGATATTATTGACACAGCTAACGTGGTGTTTGGAGGAATATTTAAGCCAGTCGTGTGAGCCACTTATGTGATTAAAAATTGTTAATATCCCGTGAACCTGGGTTGGAAAACGTAAAATTGCTAGTGTGTCAGTGCCATCCTAAGCGTTCTACAGATCCAACACAATCCCCATCAGAATCCCAACGGCGCCGTAACCGGTTTGGCTCAGTGGATAGAGCGTCGTCCTGTGGACTGAAGGGTCCTGGGTTCGATCCCGGTCAAGGGCATGTACCTTGGTTGTGGGCACATCCCCAGTGGGAGGTGTGCGGGAGGCAGCTGATCGGTGTTTCTCTCTCATCGATGTTTCTAACTCTCTCTCTCCCTTCCTCTCTGTAAAAAATCAATAATTCAAAAAAAAAAAAAAAAGAATCGCAACGGCATTTTTTGCAAAAATAGAAAAATCCACTCTACATTGAAGAGCCAAAACCATCTTGGATAGGAAGCACAAAGTTGGAGGGCTCACACTTCACAATTTCAAGGCTTATGATAAAGTTACTGTCAGCACAATAGTGTGGTACTGGCCTAAGGACAAGCGTAGGGACCCGTGGAATAGAATAGAGAGCTCGGAAACAAACCCTCATGTATGTGGTCAGATGAACTCTGACAAAGGGACTCAAGGTCACTCAATGGGGAAAGGGCAGTCTTTTCAATAAATGGTGCTGGGGAAACTGGGTACCCACATGCAAAAGAACCAAGCTGGACTCTTACCTCACTCCACATGGAAAAGTCAACTCAGAATGGATCAAAGACCTCAATGGAAGAGCAAGACCTTAAACTCTTAAAACAGGAGAACGGCTACATGCCACTGGATTTGGCAATGATTTGTTGGACATGACAGCAAAGCACAGGCAACACAAGAAAAAACAGATAAATTGGATGACATCAAAATCCAAACCTGGGCATCAAAGGATATAACAGTGAAAAGACAACCCACGTAATGGGGGAAAATATTTGCAAATCATTTATCTGACTAGGAGTTAATATCCAGAACTAAAACTCAACAGCAACAACAACAACAAAACAACCCCATTCAAAAATGGGCCAAGAACTTGAGTAGACATTTCTCCAGAGAAAATATGCAAATGACCAATAAGCACATGAAAAGATATTCGCGGTGGCTGCCGGGAGCTGGGAGGAGGGAGAAATGGGGAGTGAGGTTTTGTTTAATGGGTACAGAATTGTCTTTGGGGTGATGGAAAGTTCTGGAAAAAGATAGTAGTGATGGTTACACAACATTGTGAGTATAATTCATGCCACTGATTTGTACACTTTTAATCCCCAAAATAATATTTTGAACAATTTCACTATTCTTGGTTGCTTTATGATGACATATTTGTCAAATATATTATATATGAAGTTTTAATGTTTATCATCTTTTTAATCTTTCAGGACCAAACTGATTAGTGTCACCTTATATTTTATTTTATTTATTTTTAATATATTTTTATTGATTTCAGAGAAAAAGAGAGGGGGAGAGAGATAGAAACATCAATGATGAGAGACCATCATTAATCAGCTGCCTCCTTGCACTCCCCTTCTGGGGATCGAACCTGCAACCTGGGCATGTGCCATAATCGGGCATCGAACCGTGACCTCCTGGTTCATAGATTGACAATCAGTCACTGAGCCACACCAGCTGGGCATGTTACCTTATATTTTAAAACATAGGCTTTAGACCTAGCTTATTCTCTATAGAAAAAAAAAAGTGGCTTCTTTCATTTACTTATTTCTTCAGAAGACCTTTAGAATAATTGGGTTAAATCTTCTAAAAATAATCTAATGGGGATCTTGATTCAACTTGCATTAAAGATGTCATTTGGATGGAGTTAAACCTCAGCACGGCATTCAGACTAGCTATCCAGGAAAACAGTCTTTCATGCAGTCAAGTTCTCTTAAAAATACATTTGGGCCTTAGAGGTATTGGATGACTCAGTTGTCGCTGGCCCCTGGCACGCTCTACGGTTAAGTGTGCCAGTTATTAAGCTATTATCTCTTGGTTTCAAATCCATCCCCCTCTTTTTCTTTTTAAAATATATTCTATTGCCAAAACCGGTTTGGCTCAGTGGATAGAGCGTCGGCCTGCGGACTGGAAGGTCCCAGGTTCGATTCCGGTCAAGGGCATGTACCTGGGTTGTGGGCACATCTCAGCTGATCGATGTTTCTCTCTCATCGATGTTTCTGACTCTCTATCTCTCTCCCTTCCTCTCTGTGAAAAATCAATAAAATATATTAAAAAAAATATATATATATATATTCTATTGATTTTTTACAGAGAGGAAGGGAGAGAGATAGAAACATCGATCAGCTGCCTCCTGCACGCCTCCCACTGGGGATGTGCCCGCAACCAAGGTACGTGCCCTTGTCCGGAATCGAACCTGGGACCCTTCAGTCCCCAGGCCGGTGCTCTATCCACTGAATCAAACCGGTTAGGTCATCCCCCTCTTCTGGGCTTTGTGAATCTGAGGTTGGGACTCTGAAAACCACTTTCGCTTCGCCCACCGGCTGTGCTGCACTTGGCCAGGAGGGGGCGCCAACGAGACCCGACGCCCGGAGGACGTGAAGGGGACGCGCTCCTTCCTGTGGGCTCTCTGCTCATTTCCCGTCAGTTTCTGGTTCCCACCAGCGTCACCCAGCAGTGTTTTCACCCTGGCTGAGGCGGTTCCTTCTCGTAACCGCTGGTAAGTCTAGTTTGCCACTTTTCCGAACCTTGCCCACCCTCCGCAACGTCAGCACCATTTCGCCCGCAGCTTCCCGGGAGGGTCGCAGCGCCCGGCGGGCCTCGGCGCTCAGACACGCCGGCGCTGGCTGGGCAGCGCCCCCTCGCGGCCTGAGTTTCCTCTCCAGTGGGAACCTCACCCAGGCGCTTGCTGTCAATAATGCTAAACTTTATCCTTTGCTCTGCTTGCCCACGGCGGTAGCTGCTTGCTGTAGTGAGTGAATCGCACCGTGATACCATCAGGTTATCCTTTTGCCTTTTGGTTACCTAGTTACCAACCCTTTATACCTAAGTACAGTAGTTCCCTTTATTATTATCCTGGGGGGGGATACGTTCCAAGACCCCCAGTGGATGCATGAAAGCCTATATATACACTGAGTGGCCAGATTAATTATGACCACCTGACGTTTGTAGGCAAATTAGCTATAATTTCACGCTGAAGTTGCTAGAGGGCCAGATCATTATAAATGTCTGAATAGCACCACATACCTAAGTATCATTGCTGATCAGGTTCATCCTATCATGTTGATGGCGTATCCCAATGGAGACGGCTTCTTCCAACAAGACCATGCGCCATGCCACGGTGCTCGTATTGTGCAGGAGTGGTTTCAAGAACATGAGGGAGACTTTACCTTGCTTAGGCGGCCCCCACAATCACCAGATCTCAATCCAGTTGAGCATTTGTGGGACGAAGTTAAAAGAGCCATCAGGCAGCTGGTTCCACAACCATCAAATCTCACAGAACTGGACAGTGCTATTCATCAGGCAGGTGTCAGATTCCTCGCATCACCTTTCAACATCTCGTGGAGTCAATGCCAAGAAGAATCGCTGCAGTATTGAAGACGAAAGATGGCCCAACAAAGTACTGATGGGGTGGTCGTAATAATCTGGCTGGTCATAATAATCTGGCCACTCAGTGTATATATACTATATATATATATGTATATATGTATATGTATATGCATATTTATGTATGTATATATCTATATCTATATAAAATGTATACCAAACCCTATATATACTGTTTTTTTTCCTATACATTCCTATGATAAAGTTTAATTTATAAATTAGGCACAGTAAGAGGTTAACAGTAATTAATAATAGAACACGTCTAACAATATACTGGGTGGGGCAAAAACAGGCTTGCAGTTGTTCATATAGAAAACAATACGATAATAAATGATAATACAAGAGTAAGCTGTGTTTCCCCATACTCGCAACTGTAAACCTACTTTTGCCCCACCCCGCGCTGTCATGAACGTGCCTGGCTGTGGGGTCATTGATAAAGGGAAAGGAGAGTTAATGAGCGCCGACTGGGATACAGTCGATCTGATAACCAAGTCCCACTAAGTGACTAAGTGACTAACGCGTGGAGACACTGGACAAAGGGATCATTGATGCCCGGGGCGGGATGGAGCTGGTCCGCGTGGGATTTCATCATGCCGCGTGGAATCGTGCCCAATTTAAAACGAAGGAATTGTTTATTCCTGGAATTTTCCATTACACATCTTCTACCCCGGGGTTTACCATGGAAAGTGAAACTGCGAATAAGCAGGGGGTGGCTACCGTAACGTTTCTTTAGGTGACAGACACCATCTGTTAAAATAACTGGTGTGCTTTTTGTCGCCTGAAGATACCGTGACTGACGCCACTGCGGGCAACTCGGGGCAGATTCTCAGAGGTGGGGTTTGGGGGGTGGTTTAGTTCGTTTTCAGGGTTCACACACAGTGGTGCGCTCCCTGCCAACAAGGAATGGGGTGCTGGTGACCCACCGTGTGCAGCGGCACCCTGGTGATGTGTCACCATCCCTGCCGACGGGGATGCAGTTCCAGCTGTGGAGTGATAGGGGATCCAGTGGCTGCGGCAATGGACCAAGATGGCGCTACGATGGCCGCAAGGACAGTGGTGTTCAGTGGCTTCCTCTGCGACACTGGCAGGAGGTGGGGTGGGGTGTGGGGACCGGCAGGCGTGCCCCGCAGCCTCTGCTTCAGGGTGCTTCTCTGAGGTGGCCGTGGCTCTTACTGGACGGACCTGCCCTGCCGTGCTTTCTGCTTCCAGCAGGTGAACTCGGTCCCTTAACTCCACGGCATCACCTCCTCTGTTATCCTCCATCCCAAGGTGGTCGTGGCTTCCGGCTGCTGCTAATCTGTGGCTTCCCTTACAACTCCTTTCGGCCCTCGGGCCTTCCATCACCTGTGCAGCCAATCCCTTACATCAAAGTCTATTTTAAGTGTTCAAAGTAGTTATTTGTGGGTGTTTTTTGTTGTTTTTTTATAAATTTAATATTTCCACAATCTTTTTTTAAACATGTAGTTGCTATTTAAATTTTTTAAAAAATATTTTTATTGATTTCAGAGAGGAAGAGAGGGATAGAAACATCAATGATGAGAGGGAATCATTGATTGGCTGCCTCCTGCACGCCCCCCACTGGGGACCGAGCCCACAACCCGGGCAAGTGCCCTTGGCTGGAATCGAACCCAGGACCCCGAAGTCCACAGACCCATACTCTATCTACTGAGCCAAACCGGCCAGGGCAATATCTCCACAATCTTATAATTCCTTTATTTTAATGACATTCCCAACCTTTTTTTTTTTAACCTTCACCTGAGGCTATTTTTCCATTGATTTTTAGAGAGAGTGGAAGGAAGGAGGAGAGACGCAGTGAGAGAAACACTGATGTGAGAGGCACATCGATTGGTTGCCTCCCTCACAGGCCCTGGCCCAGGTCTGGGGATCGAGCCTGCAAACAAGGGGATCCAGCCTTTGACTGGAATTGAACCCGGGGTCCTTCAGTCCGCGGGCCGGTGCTCTATCCACTGAGCCAGACAGGCCAGGGCAGCTATTTGTTGATTGGGTCTTGGCGGCTAGTGTTGGTCCTGGTGCCGAGCGACCTCACGGAACAGAGCCTCAAGATGGGATTCTGGGATTACGGTGTCCATCTGTTTGCGCTTTAATGAGATGCTATCTTTTCAGGTGGAAAATGGGACTCCAGTTATCCCTGGACACATGGGCCCTTAGAGCAGCGGTTCTCAACCTGTGGGTCGCGACCCCTTCGGCGGCCCAACGACCCTTTCACAGGGGTCGCCCAAGACCCTCCTGCAGGTCAGATATGGACGTGACGATTCATCACAGTAGCCACATGACCGTGATGAGGTAGCAACGGAAATAATTTTATGGTGGGTCACCCCATGAGGAACTGTATTGAAAGGGCCAGAAGGCTGAGAACCACTGTCTTAGAGGGATGTAAAAGGGGCTTGGGAGGAGGTGCAATCCTGGTTCTTTACCCATTAACTATGTACCCTTATGTAAATGGCTTTTTAAAAAGATACTACTTGATTTATTTATCCTCTCGCAAGGATATTTGTCCATTGCTATTTAGAGAGAGTGGAAGAGAGAGGGAAAGACAGAGAGAAATATCGGTCTGAGAGAAACACATCGATTGGTTGCCTCCTCCACAAGCCCTGACCAGGGCTGGGGCCGGGGAGGAGCCTACAAGAGAGATATGTGACCTTGATCGGAATCGAACCTGGGACCCTTCAATCCGCAGGCCGACTGAGTCAAACGGGTTAGGGCCTTGTGTAAATGATTTATCCTCTCTGGGCCTTTTTCTTTCTCTGTGTCTTAGTCAGTTTGCGCTATTATAAAATGCCATAGACCAGGCAGCTGAAACAACAAATTCTTATTTCTCATTTTCAGAAGCTAGGAAGGCCAAGATCAAAGTGCTGGCAGGTTTGGTGTCTAATAGGAGCCTGCTTCCTGGTTTGCAGATGGCTGCCTTCTTGTTGTACCCTCACATGGTGGGGAGAGAAAGAGTGTGCCTCACCTTACAAGGGCACTAATCCCATCATGGGGCCCCACCCTCATGACCTCACCTAAACCTAATTATCTCCTAATGACCCCATCTCCAAATACCATCACACTGGGGATTAGGGCTTCAACCCATGAACTTTTGGGCATATAAACATATGGTCCATACGACTCTGTAAAATGATGATGATTATTCATCGTCTGAAGGGATTTAGACCCTCCCACCCCAGTTCCCATCACCCTGTGGGTACAAATGAAGCCACATTAATAAATCTCGTATCTGCTAGCTGTGAATCTGTAAATCAATTGGGGCTTAAAATAATGTTAAATTTAAATGTTTTTTTTTTAAAGTAGCATCTTTATAATATCTGATAGACCATGAATATGGCTTAACCCCCACAATTTATTAAGGTCTTTAACGTCTCTCAGTTATGTTTGTAACTTTTCTGTAGAGGGGATGGCATGTCTTTTGCTAGACTTGTTAGCTTTTTTAAATTATTTTTTTTAAATATATTTTATTGATTTTTTACAGAGAGGAAGGGAGAGGGATAGTTAGAAACATCGATGAGAGAGAAACATCGATCTGCTGCCTTCCACACACCTCCTACTGGGGATGTGCCCGCAACCAAGGTACATGCCCTTGACCGGAATCGAACCCGGGACCCCTCAGTCCGCAGGCCAACAGTCTATCCACCAGCCAAACCTGTTAGGGCAGATTTGTTCAGCTTTTGTTCAGCTTCCTTGCTAAACTCACTGATGTTTAATAATTTATTCCATTGGGTTCTTTTTTTTTTTTTTTTTTTAAATATATTTCATTGATTTCTCACAGAGAGGAAGGGAGAGAGACAGAGAGCCAGAAACATCGGTGAGAGAGAAACATCGATCAGCCGCCTCCTGCACACCCCCCACTGGGGATGTGCCCGCACCCCAGGTACATGCCCTTGACCGGAATCGAACCCGGGACCCTTCAGTCCGCAGGCCGACGCTCCATCCAGAGCCAAACCGGCTTCGGCCCATTGGGTTCTTTATGATTCTCTATATGTATAATTATGACATCTCAGAATTCTTTTTCTCTGCCCTTATATTCTTTCTCTTCTTGCCTTATTGCAATGTGTTAGAATAGAGATTACCTTTGAAGGAGAGGGTAGTGATTGTGAGGGGACATGAGAAAGGATTCAGCGGGTGCTATAAACTGGATTTTTAAATCTTGGTGGTGGTTACAGGAACATGTCTATTTCATGATAATTCATGGAGCTTTTAAAAGTATATTTTTTATTGATTTCAGAGAGGAAGGAGAGAGAGATAGAACCATCAATGATGAGAGAGAATCATTGATTGGCTGCCTCCTGCACGCCCCCCACTGGGGATTGAGCCCACAACCCGGGCATGTGCCCTGACTGGGAATCGAACTGTGACCTCCTGGATCATAGGTCAGTGCTCAACCACTGAGCCACATTGGCTGGGCTCATGGAGCTTTTCATTTGTGAACTTTTCTGTTTATATTATACTTTGATTAAAAGCTTAAAATAGCACTATCATGGCCGTTTAAAATATGTCCACAAATTGACAGTCTCTTTAAAATATGTCTGCAAATGCTCTGACATGACCCCTGAGTAAGATTTGGACTCAATTCCAAGGAACATAAAAAGGGGAAATGATACCATGTGACTTGGGAGCCTAGGTCACCAAAGACACTTGTTCTCTCTCAGACTGCTGCTCCGGGAGAAGTGAGCTGGCATGAGAAGCTGAGCCCCCGGCCCGCAGCCATGAGAGCGAGCCTTCCCGCCCCAGTCACGCCTTCAGATGACTGCAGCCCCAGCTCCCATCCTGCAAACTCGTGAGGACCCTGAGCCAGAGCCATCCAGCTAAGCTACTCCCAGATTCCTGGCCTTCAGAAATTGTGAGATCATACACAGCTATTGCTTTGAGCAGCTAAGTTTTGGGGATAATTCTTTGCACAGCAATAGGCAATGACCTAGGAAAAATTACCCTAAAAAAAGGTTGGTTGACTGACGCAGACTGCATCCTAGAACCTTCTTTTACCCCCTACCTTCTTTCCAAAGACCTGGCCCACCATCAGCATCTCCCTGGGATGGAGACGCCTGTGAGCTGAGGACGGCATGGTGTGCATCCAAATTACTGACCATCTTTTGGTGCCAAAAAGGAGACAGAGTTCATGCCAGCATGAGGGGCCATTTATTGTTCCGGGTTAGGGCCCCCACGTTTGGGGGGAGTCCCCCCACTACTTCCTCCTCCCATTGTCCCCGTGGACCCCTCAAGTGGCAGGTTGCTGAGTTGATCATGGAGGGAGCACATCTTCAAGTGTAGATAGTCCAGGGAGGCCACCTTCTCCCTGCAATGACAGGCAGTGGGCGGTCGGTGCTGGTGGGCCCAGGTGCCACGGGGCTGGTAGAGGGGGAGACTCAGGCCCGACCCCCAAGACCTCACCCTCCTCCCATGCCCTCAGCCTCCTTCCTCACTCCGGCTTCATCTTGTCCGTCAGCAGCAGGTTCTTGGCCCGCAAGGCTTCGTCTTGGGCCAGGCGAAGGGTGGAGCTCAGGGCCTCTGCCCTGACGTGCTTGGCCAAGGCCTGGCGCTCCAGCTCCTGGGGAGAGGAGTGTAGGCGCCGCTGGGCTTGCCTGACTGGGCTGGGGGTGGAGGGAGCTGGGTCGCGGAGGGCCAGGGGCAGGGGCCCATGGGGCCCACATTCCTCCCTCAAGGTACCCTATCATGCCTCCAGCGGACCCCAGCGTCCCACAATGCCCTGGCCTTCCAAACGCCCCTGTGTGCTGAACCTGGGTCTGCCCCTCCGCCTGTCCCCGGCGCCCTGGCCTTCTGTGTCCCAGCAAACACTAAACCGGCATCCGTCTTAGTTTCCCCAAATGCCCACGGAGCATGATGCCTTGGATGTGTGTTTGGCCCCCAGAATCCCTCACGTGGTGGCCTTCTGCATCCCCTAAGACCTCCCGTCTCCTTAGCTACCGACCAGCATCTCTGTCACAACAGTGGTCCTCCGTGCTCTGGTCCCCTGTGTCCCAGCATGCACCGGGCCCCTTGGCCCAGAGCTCTGCCACACCAATGTCCCTCACTGCCTCGCTCGTCTGTCTCACCCGCTACAACTTCTATCGTCAGGCCGGAGCCCGTAAGACATCAGCTCCCTGCGTACACTCCATCAGGACGGAAAGTTCCATTAGCTGTTGGGCTTGAAGTCGGTGGTGCCACGGCCCAGGCAGAGCTGTGGCCCCACTTCCCAAAATGCACTAGTTTACTGCGACGTGCGTTCCCTGGCCGACCTCAGCGACCCCGTGTAATATGTGGCCTCTCTTAAGCCCCACAGAAAACCAGGTTTGCATCCTACGAAGCTGTAGATGTGTCTGTCTCCTGTGTCTCAGTGCCCCATACCCAGTGTCCCATCATGCTCTGGGCAATGTCCGCCACCAAGGTTCCCTAACAATTGACCAACGGAGCCCTAGCCGGTTTGGCTCAGTGGATAGAGTGTCTGCCTGCGGACTGAAGAGTCACCGGTTCGATTCCGGCCAAGGGCACATGCCTGGGTTGCAGGCTCGATCCCTCATAGGGGGTGTGCAGGAGGCAGACTATCAATGATTCTCTCTCATCAATGATGTTTCTCTCTCTCCCTCTCCCTTCCTCTCTGAAATCAATAAAAAAATATTTTAAAAAAGATTGACCAATGGAACCTGTGCTGGATTCTAAAATGTCCACAAAATGACATTCTCTTCAAAATGCCTCTAAATTCAACCTTCTAAACTGCTTGCCCCTAATCATCAGAGCCCGGTGTCCCCCGTACCCCTGCTGCCCACAGCTCAGTCTTCCCACCCCGAGCCTGGGGCTCCCGCCCCCTCTCTGACAAAAAAAGTGGGGTGTGGTGGCCCACGGGGCCCTGGTACCAGAATCTTCTTGTGCAGCCGCTGGCAGCTGGGGCAGGCAGGGGCCAGGCCCCTCTGCTTCACCTCGTCCACTAGCGGGGTCAGGGCACGCTCCAGCAGCTGCTGCAGGGACTCCGTGGACAGCTGCTGCCCCTGGCTGCGGGAGGGGAGTCAGCAGGTGAAAGAGGCCTGGCACCAACTCCATTCCCAGGACGCCTACCGCCCAGCCTCCACCCGGGGCCCCTTTCCGCTGAGCACCCATGCAACCTCGCCACCCTGCACGGGGCCAACCTGCAGTGCCTGAGCTATCCTTTGGTTTCCGCAGCGTGGGAGTTCCCACAATGCCTGGGGAGTCCCACTCCCCAAGGGCAGCGATGGCCCTCAGTCCATCAAAAGCTCAGACTTCCCACAATGGACTGGTTTCATCTGATCCCACCTCGTATTGGAAGCCCTCCCCCTTCCTAATAGGACCCGAACCAGGTGTCCCTGGGCGCTCTGATAAACCAAGGTCTCACCTCCCCACAATGCACCCATAAACCCAGCCTCCACCAGCGGTTCTCAACCTGTGAGTCGCAACCCCTTTGGCGGTCGAACGACCTTTTCACAGGGGTCGCCTAAGACCATCCTGCATATCAGATATTTACAGTATGATTCATAGCAGTAGCAACATTACAGTTATGAAGTAGCAAGGAAAATAATTTTATGGTTGGGTCACAACATGAGGAACTGTATTTAAAGGGCCAGAAGGTTGAGAACCATTGTCACATCCCAATCTTCCCACAATGCACTAGAACTCTAGATTGCTTGACTATATCAAGACTTTCTGGTGTTCCAGGAGATACTGACTCCACGTGGGAAGTGTGGCTCCCATAATGCACCAGGACTGCTGGTCCTACAGTACAGCCTGGGGTGCCCTCCCTCCCACTCCCGCCAACGCCCAGCTCCTTCCATGCTTTGTCTTTAGGGAACGCACGCGCGGAGCCAGGCCTGGGCCCCTTACCTGGCACAGCGGGTGCAGGAGCCCTGGGGGGCCCGCTCCAGGCTCATGGAGAGGTCGGAACTTCTGCGGGAGCTCTGAAACTGCCGCCCCAGCTCCTCCAGAATCGGCTTCACAGGGCCCAGGCCCTCCAGATCGCTCCTCAGCGAAGCCACGGACACGGCTGACCGCTCCACCCTGAAGCGGAACAATAGCCAGGGCTTCGAGGGCGCCCCTCCGAGCCAGGCTGGGCCCGTGACCAGCAGGGCTAATACCCCGCCCTGCCTGCCCCTCTCTGCTCTGATTGACCCCTCCTTTTATGTTTATTTTTAAAAATTAAAAATTTTATTTTGTTAATCCTCACCCGAGGATATTTTCCCCATTGCTTTTTAGACAGAATAGAAGGGAGGTAGGAAATGGGTGAGAGAGGGAGGAAGAGAGAGAAACATTGGTTGCCTCCCGCATGCACCCCCACGGGGGGGGGGGGGGAGGGGGTCAGGGATCAAACCTGAAACCCAGGTACATGCTCGTGACAGGGAATCCGACCTGAGACCATTCGGTGCTCAGGCTGAGGCTCTAACCATTGGACTCACTGGCCCCGGCTCCTTTTATTTATTTTTTGTAGGCTTTTTAAAAATTATTTTTTAAAATATATCTTCACTTATTTCAGAGAGGAAGAGAAAGAGAGAAACATCAATGATGAGAGAGAATCATTGATCAGCTGCCTCCTGCACACCCCTCACTGGGGATGGAGCCTGCAACCCGGCATGTGCCCTTGAGCAGAATCAAACCTGGGACCTTCCCCCCCCCACCCCCCCCCCAGTCCACAGGCCAACGCTCTACCCACTGAGCCAAACCAGCCAGGGCCTTTTATGTTTTTAGGGCTGAAAGACCCCCTCCTCGTTCTCCAATGGACTCTCACTAAGCCTACTTGGCTCCTCCCTCTGTCCTTTGAAGGTGTGGGAAACCGTCTCTAATTGACCCCGCCCCTCAGGCCTTATTAGGGATGGCCAGCCTCTTCTTATAGGAGCTTCCTCGTGTCAGTATCTGGTCGGGCCCTCTTGGTCCCAGCTGATTGGTCCACCGCTTTCCCTCGAGGCCCCGCCCCCCCGCGGCCCCGCCCCGCGCCGTGGCCCTCACATGGTGCACAGCTCGTCGGTGCGGCCCCGCAGCTCCTGCAGGCCCCGTGCCGTCTGCGCCTGCTCGCGCTGCGCCCGCTCCCACTGGCCCAGGAAGCCGTCCAGCCTGCCGCCCAGGCCCCCCAGCAGCCGCAGGGCCTCCTGCACCGCCCCCTCCTCCTGGTGCCACCGCGCGGTCAGCGAGGACACCTCCCGCCTGGAGGGGAAAGGTGAGGAGCTGGTCAGGGCTGGGTTCGGACCCGTCCCCATCGTGCCCGCCACCCCAAGACCACGTCTATGCGCGCGTGCACACACACACACACACACACACACACACACACACACAATTCCTGCCCTTCTAGGTCACCACCTCCTGAAACGCCCTCCCAGGCTCTTCAGGGCTCCACCCCCCCGGGCCCTGCCCCCCAAGATCTTTCCGTCTTGGACCCCAGGACCCACTCACCTCAGGTCCTCCAGGCCGGCAGACACCTTCTGCACCTCCTGCTCACTCATGACGAGGCCCTCCCCGGCCCGGGCCCCCGCTCCCCAGCAGCCGGAGACCAGGCTGCGCGGACGCGGGGGGTCGTCGGGGCTCCCGGGCGGCCCCGAGCAGCCCTGCCGGGACAGGCCGGCCTCCAGCTTCTGCTCCAGCTCCTGCAGCTGGGCCTCCTGCCTCCGGGGAGTCTCGTCCTGCAGCTGCTGCTGGAGGTAGCGCAGCTTCTCCTGAGGGGGGGCAGGGTTAGGGCGTGGAGCCCCTTGCCCCCCACTATCACCTCCACCCCCAGATCCACCCAGTGAGTCCCTGAGATGGGCGTGGGGGACAGGATATTGGGAAGTCCAGCCTGGAGTCTAAATGGACTCCCCCTTGCCGGTACTTGGGGACCTTTCTCCCATTTGAAGATGCCTGCCTCCCTGTCTCCATTCAGCCCTGCACCCCCCAAGTCCTCCACCCCCCCACTGCAGTCCTCCGAGGTGTCAGTCTCTCCGTTTGGGAAGAACACTTGAAACTTTCCCAACATTTTGCCGGGAGATGTATGGGCATATGGGCGCCACGGACATTCCCGCTCGAAGTCCAACACACGAGTCCGGGATCTGACTATTACCGTGCACAGAGAAGCATGACCGTGAACATGAAGGGGGCGGGGTGATGGTGGGGTGGGAAAGGCCCGCCTGAAGTCTGACCAAGTACCCTGTCCCCAGTCCTGGGACACCCCCGACCCCCTTACCTCCAGCAGGGCGGAGTTCTGCTTCAGGACGTTGGTTTTTATTTCAGCATCTTCCACCGAGCGGGTCACCTTCCGGCAGTTCTCCTGGGTCAGGACACCAGGGCAGGGGCCCTGCCTTCCCATTCCAGTTCTGCCTCCTTGCCCTTCCCCTCTATTTCCATACAGGCTGCACCCCTCCCCCCTCGCCCCGACAGCCAGTGTCTGCCCCCTGCCTATTGTTCTACCCCTTCGGAGCCTGGCTCCCTTGGTTAAAAGGATGACTTTCTTCTTCAGCCTGTCCTGTGCTGCTTTCCACTCCCCCACCGTCTCATGTCCACCCACTCCGTTCCCCCCACCCTCTTCCTAGGTCCACTCCCTGCTCCCCCCACCCCACTCCTGCCCCCCCTCCCAGCAGGCTCACCTTGAGTTGACTACAGTACCCTTCCAGTTCTTCTGCCTCTTGCCGCCTTCTCTCTAGATTCTCGCTCAGCACAGAACACTCACTCTGGAGCATGGAAGGGAGCGGGTAGGGTTAGGGTGTGGTCCACAGGGGACAGCCCACTCTGCCCCCTCCCGCACCCCCCCCCGGCCCCCCGTGGTGGGGAGAGACTAGGCCTGGGAAAACTGCTTTCCTTTCTGAGCCTCTGGCTTCCCAGCTGGGCTACGGGCTCACTGAGTTGGTGGAGGGGCCTAAGAGAGCCAAGCGGCCCTGGAGGAAGAGGAGGTGTTGGGGGGAGGGCGGTCCGCACACCTGCAGCGTCTGCACATGCTGATTGACCCGGGTGGTTTTCTCCTTCAAGCTGGTGATGGAGTCTTTGGCTCGAACCAATCCACTATTGACCCCGCTCTGGGGAAGGAGGAGAGACAGGTGGGTGGGAGCAAAACCCCAAGCCCAGGAACAAGTCTAGCACCGAGAAAAGGCTCAGGGCACCCCTCGATTCTGCCCTAGAGTGGCCGCGTGACCTTGATTCCAGGTACTCCTGCCCCGAGAGCCAGGGCCGTGGTGGACTTGGTAGGAACAATAAGTAGGACCAGGAGGGAGAGGGGGTGGGGGAGCACTCAGACAGGTGGAGGAAGGAAGATGGTGTCAGCCGAACACTGAGATCAAAGCCTGCAGGATCCACAGACATAAATAAGATAAATTGTTGAGGCACATGCTCTGCCTTCCTCTCCAGGCGCTGGGGGATTCTAAAGGTGACCCACTTTCTGGACACAAGCAGGCACTGCGCTCCAGGCCAAGCACGTACACACATTTTCTCTTTCCTTCCTCACAACCACACCTGTTGAGATGATTTGGCCCGCTCTGCGAGAGAGGCAGATGAGGCTCAGAGAGGGGATGTCCCTTGTCCACCCAGGGACACAGCGCATGAGGTGGCCTAAGTTCTGGGGTTAAAATCTG